AGTTCTGAAAAATATTTTTGGATTACAGTATTAGAGACCACCATATTGATTCATACTTCGGCTGGTCTTGCATTACGATTCATTACTTGAAATGACAATTAGCTATACACTCAATGAAAAATGTTCAATTAACGTTGAGACTGAATAATTTTCCATACATCAAAGACCTCACCAAAAGTTTGTACTAAACTTTCCACAATAACAAAGTTAACAACATCTACAATACCATTTTATGTTTTCTATTTAATATAAAAAATCTCTGCAAATTATCAAGCCTCAACATTTCTGCCAAATGAACAGAGAGGCAAGCAAGAACCGCCACGAGATTTCACAGGCGGACAAATCTGTAGACTAGATCCCACGCGTAAATTATTCACCTCGTCCCACAATTCTTGTGGCAGCCATGGTTCAAGAGCCAGCCACACGGAACGATTACACAGAGGAGATAGAGATTAGTGTAACGCAATCGACGGCACTTTTGAGTCTCTGTGCATGCGCCAAATCGAACTCTTAAAAGATAACGGGGCACGCTAATCCGCAGAACCGATATCACATGCTAATCGACCACTTTGTCAAGCTTAATAGAATTGGTTTCCACTTGTGGCAGCAGTGTGTGCTGCTTACTATATTCCCATTATGCAACATGTTGGTGACATTAATCTGTAAATATAATCATATGTATATACGATATAACGTATATCAGACGTGCTAATCACATGCTGATCGATCACTTTGTCAAGCTCAATAGAATTTGTTTCAACTTGTGGCAGCAGTGTGTGTGGGACTAACTACATTCCCAAGATGCAACCTGATGACATTAATATGTAAATATAATCATATGCACGAACGATATGACTTCTATCAGACCTGCACAGCATTTTGCACTTTGACCCCAAGAGCCGCGCGCGAGCAACTCTAGTGCAGACCTGGTCTACGTGGAAGGGTGGGGGTAAGACGCATTCTAGAAGTGGGGACCGCCAATAAGAATGCGCAATTTGAACCGCCGCGCGTAAATTGAATCAGCAATTACGAGAATACACACGGTTCAAGTTTGATTATCTTTTATTTTGTTAATGTGAACCTTAAACGAATTAGACACACATATGTGATTTGGATACCAGTATTATAATTGCTTGTAGGGCTGATAATGTAATTTGCTTTGAGCGTTACGATGTAAACGCAAATTTAGCGTGCTGATAAATACGAAATTGTAATATTTAATCTTTTTTTTATTATGACAGTAATATTTTTTCATTACATTACCTATGTTTAATTGATTAGGGCCGTTATATCGAAGATAAAAAATCTTATTCTTAGAAAATGGCTGGCTTGTAAGAGCAGAATGCTCGCGGGAACAGGCGTAGTGCAAACCTGACTTATTATGGCCCCAACCAATAAAACCGACGCTGAGAACAAGCGGACGTATAAATTCCACGGATGGACTTGAATAGAGGTTCTCTTAAAAGGATGGATAGATGTCACGCACAGACATTATTTCAAAGAATGCAAAGACGACATGCTAACATTACAGTACCGGTAGCGTACAAGCAACTGACAATTTTCTCGCCACGTACTGTGGTTCGTTCTGTGTACACATCTGATTTTAGGCCAAATGCCTATTTAGTTTCTTTAGAAGGTTGTGAAAAATAATTGAAGATGTGTATGAATCGTGAAAAAAAATATGTACAGAAAATAAATGCTTAAAAGAGCGGTTGATGACATTTTCATATTTTTTGTATAAAACTAGTAATTTTGAAGAATTATAAGATATTAATTACTGGTCTTTAAATTTGTTATTCCGAAACGCAAATACTTTCCCGAATTTCCCGACATGCAAACATTCCCTGATCCAATATGCAATCGACCAGGCACCGAAGTGTCTTACTCAAGAGACCCAGCATAAAGACATCTGCAAGTCGATATAAAGATGTTTCACGCTCGTCTCCGATTAGCACGCTCTTCTTAGACAATTGCACCCAATCTCTATACAGCTGCGCTGTTGACAGATTGAGAATGAAAAGTGAAAAAGAATAAATGAAATTAAAAGAAATGAAAGTGAATAGAGTTATATGCTTGTAGTTTACTCTCATAAATATAAAAATCTAATAAAAATTAACGGCTTAATTTAATAGATTTGTGATCAGTTTTAGATGCCAAAAACAAAACTTTTCAACCCCTAATGTTTTTTAAGCCTAGCTCACTCACTTTTAAGTGTCTAAACCTTCACTTTTTATGCCCCAAAAGTGCCTAATTTCATAATTTTGATTCCTATTTTAGGTACTAAATCATCATTTTTTGTGCCTATAACTCTGAGGTAGGCTTGCGATGATTTGTTTACTTCCTTGCAGCCAGGGTGCAGCATAGCCACACGCCTGACTCACACGAAGTCGCGGAGGCGATAAGGCTCAGCTCTGGTGAAAGTTATGACCATGCTATCAAGTCGTGTCATGACCTGTTGATGTTTTGAGATTTAATTAATTTGTGGTGTACGTAGTGCCAGGCACGGCGGATAACGGGATGGGGAGTAGCTACGAGTATACCCTCGCGAAAACATCCCGAGTGGGTAAAATACCCACGTGAAATTTTGGGTGAGAGAAATAGTCCACAAACGTCAAATTCCAGAAATGAAGTTTCTCGATGTTGCGTCGACTCAAAACGTATGTGCAATCAATTGTTGTAAGATCACCACAACAGTATTAAAATTTTACACGTTTATAGAGACATGACCGACAAAATCAATTTGCAAAATTTGTTTAGTTCATATCACAAATGTACAGCACAGCGCTGTCTTTGCGAAAAAGAGCTGCTGAAGCGACACAAAATAAATGTGATAACATTTCGATGACAATTTAAAGATAAACTTAATTTGAAAAAAATCTGTTTTGTATTTTCCCCTTCAAATAATTTTCCGTGGGATATGGAAAGGAGACCTCCCACTCGGACTCCCACAACACCAATCGCCGGGCGTGGCCGGTGGCATGTGCGTAGTAATCTGTGGCAACTGCACGTTGAACTGCCAAGAGTTGCTTATCTGCCGGTATAGTAGTCCGAGGGGAGGGAAGTGTTCTTGACGCCTCCCTGTCGGAACTAGGGATACGACACCGACTTCGATGTTTTCGTAGAAACACAGACGTTTTTTTAACGTCGATTTTTTCCGATATTTTTTTTTCCTTTTCCGATATTTTTTTGTGAATGAAAAATTCTTATGATCACAAAACTGTAAAAGTTAAAATATGAAATAATGTATTGTAACATTTTTATCTTTGAACTAAAGGTACGCCATTTCCACTACCTTCATCAACCAAATTTTTTTTGTCCGAGATGACCTCCATGCTCTTGTATTTCGTCTGTTTCGCACATTGAAAAGTGGTCAACAAATACGCTGTGGGCGGAGGGTCTGTCCCTTCCTCTCGTGCCCTTATTCGGCGAATTGAAATTGTTATAGGTTACTAATCCAGTCTAAAAAAACATGGTTTTTAGGTAACGTATTTTTACAGCGATATTTGCTAACGATGTTTTGTAATCGATGTTGCATCACTACTCTGTACTACGTACGGTTTGTTCGGCCTTAGAAAGATCTTGATATAAACAAATACACGTCCTTAATACAACCTCTTATTGGTTGCTTGGATTTGCGGATGTGTACGTATAACGTTTCGCTTCTGAGAATAGTTATAAATTCTCTTGTTGAAATGCAAGTTTTAAAATACAAAGGAGGATTTAGAGAAATAAAAACGATCGGAGAATTGAGTAAACGGTCACTGGAGACACTGAATATGGCCACTGCTCACATACGCCGAAGACGAAGGCGTCGAGTAGTGGCAGCGAAGAAACCTTATATACGTCGCCCGGTGTTGACTTTTAACTGAAGATTGAGTCAATTCCAAATGCAGCCAACGTTCGTTTGACTCCGTGAGCAATAGAGCAGTCGGTTCTCTTCGCTTAGAACGGCAAGATCGTCGTAGTATCTTTTAATAATTTTAAATATTTTTCGTATCTTATTTTATAATGGTGAATGCTGAGGCAGGGCCGTATTTTACAAAACATGATGTGTAAAGCATAAATACAGGTTGAAAAAAGAATTAGTAATGTTTTCTCGTGGAGCGGAAGGAAAACACATATTGGCCGTTAAACAGATTGCCACAGGTCGTCATGGACCACGGGAGTGTATTCGTCAAGTGTAATGAGTGCATGCAGAGGTGAGTATACACAGGAAACTTGTCAGGGAAATAAAAGATTTTGGGTTTGAACCAAATCCGGTCGCGTCTGCAATAAGTAGGAGTGACGATTGCGAAACGGGATGCGTGTTGCACTCCAGGAAATCGGAGCTTCATTCTCGTTGCAGGCGGGACTGCTGTTGCTGCGAGCACTTCTGACAGTTCGTATTCACGTGTATTACTCGGGCAACTTTTCTTGAACGATGGATAGACGATTTCAGGTGGAGTGGGGGTATTAGTTACAAAGTCAGCCACTAGAGTATTTTAAGTAATGCCAACGTGTGTGAAATGAAAGTCAAAACTGCATCTTGTGCGTAACTTTTTCGGGAGTTTTAGGTGACTCCCTTGAAGGACCTGGACCAGACTCAGCTGACTCACTCTCATTTCTTTCGATATTGACAATAAATCTGAACAGGGGTTCTGCACTATGAAAGCTACTGGCTTTGACTAGCCTCTGTTTCGCGCCAACGAAGTTTTAATGCTTGGAAGGTTGTCATCAGTGCACGCTGCGAGCTTTTGCCTTCAACTGTTCGTTGCACAAGGGAGGGGGATCAAGGTCATCGTTCAAGAAAAGTTGCGCGAGTAATACCATTCAGGAGGAGCCTGGAGCAATCGACCAATGAGGTTAATAGTCACGGATGAATACTGTACTCCTTTGTTTACATCCGGATCATTCTGAGGGTGAACAAAGTTTAGTTTTAATCCGTGTATAGCCCCTTCATACCGAACAATTTGTTGACAAAACGTTCGTCCATCTCATTAACTCACAGTGGCGTCTTGTGCTTAGGTTACACAACCACCAGATATGCGTAACATCCTTTTCACAGGGTTGCCAGATGCTTCGTTCAAACATCCGCCGTTAGATGGCTGTAAAACCGCCCAATAAGAAAAAAATCAACATTTGAGTTTGTATTTTGTAGGCATTTTGAATTTGCATTAAAATAATTCTATTAGAAGTTTTTTTTGAGGTAGTGACCCTATGAAACGCTTGATTAGTTTTATTTTATTTTTTTTTTGTTTGTGAACTTTGTAATATATAATCATATTTTCGTAAAAATACTGTAAGTTATAAAATGATTTCCCCACTTTCACTCCTTCCTTCTTTTAAATATCCGCACATAAAAATATTATCACAGAAGTGGTTACATATGTATGTTTCATGCTTATTCCCTGTGGCTTAACGGA